CACAATACCTATTTTATATCCATATATTTCAATTTGTAAATGCTATCTGTTACTTGTCAGCACATCCTTAAATGTGGGAGTTCATTTTTTTTCAAGCAAAGAGTGAGAATCAAGAGTGTTCATATTTAGCTTACGGAATTCCAAAAGACATCCAGAAATAGATCCCATCAAGAGAGTGCCTCTAGCCCATAGAAAAACAGACATGTGGTGCCTAGTTGTATATTCTTTGGCTCCCCAAATAAAACAAAAATTAAAAATACACACACACACACACACACACACACACACACACCGCCACAAAAACAGACAATAAGGAACTACAAATGTAAATATTTGGATAACTCTCAAACCTTTTTGTTGAACTCTCAAACATGAAATGTTAAGTTTTCGGCCTTAATTTGATACCCAGTTTATAATCTGGTATCCAGTACCTCCTTCCACACGTTAGCAACTTCATCCTTTTAGAAAGCTACGGTCTTGTCAGATGAAGAATGCCCCGGCAGCAGAATTTCATGGGTGGGGGTGGTGGTAGTTAGGAAGACTTCACATGTGCCTAGTTTATTAAACGCTCTCTCCTTCCCTTCAGGGATTGGAGTTGGGGGCGGGGCTTAGGCCATTAGTACGTCATCCAGGAAATTATGGCGCGGCTCGGAGGGCAGAGAGATGCATGGGACAAGGATGGGACTAGAAAGGACAACGGCGGGGGGGGGTTGTCAGTGAAATAAAGGACAGCACCCCACTTTTTATACCAGGCCTTGGGCAGACATTGCCTGAAGAATGTTACTCATTTCCTCTCCTTCCTATTCTTTTTTAAGTAGTGCCTAAGGTTAGTTTGTCTTCTATTTCCTCATTCTCTCCCTCTTTTAGAAGTCTCATCTATGTTCATGGATTTAGTCATGCTTTTGCCGCTTCTCTATCAGTTCCTCCAGGTCTAGCTTGTCACTCAACTCCCAGGCCAATTTCTTCAAACGGGACAGTTTTATTTAGATTATTTCACTAACACTGCAGACACAACATCAATAAAAACTCACATCCTCACCTTCTAATACCAGACCCTTACTTATATTGGGCTCCCCATCTCTTTCACTAACACACCCCTCTTGAGTCACCAAATTCTGCAAATATTTCACATATTTGTCTCTTCCTTTCAAACCCAGTTCCATTACCTTGCTTGTCCCTACTCTTAAGCATAAAAATCATCTGATTGGAGGGAACAGAATCCAGACAAGCAAGCTCGGTGGCTTTTGAAAGAATTTATGACTAGAATAATTCTCGACCAGATTTGTTAGCGATTTTTATTTCCTATAAAATCAAATGGAACTTCTTTTGCCTCTCTTTTATCTTCTTTGCTCTCTTTCTCCATTCTCCCAGTTCCACCTCCCCCACCCCTAACACACATGCTAAGGTGAATGTTATGGCGCTCCACCCAGATACCCTCTTCAAAGCTGATGTGCCCATCCCGTCCCCTCTGACCCCACTGAAAAGATGAGCTGCTGATGGCTCACAGTGGGATCCCTCCCGAACAGTTGCCGTTAGTGGAGGAAAACACAGGCCCCTTCCAAGGACGGCCTGAAGCCAGTGGCTGGCTGGTGTGGGATAGGAAAACCTGTCCTCCTTGATTCAATTTGGGACAACTCTACTATGCCATCCCAGCTTCAGGACTTCCCATGGATCGGATGATGCCTACCTTGCAACCAGTTTGCTTTTCCTACCACACGATCCTCTTTTCCTCATTTCCTTCCAGGTCTACATTCTCAGGTCATGCCCCAGTAAGCCTGCACGCAGTCTTTGTCTCAGAGTTTGGGAAACCAATCTAAGATAGGGAGTTCCTGGAGTGGTCCAAGGAAGTGTATTTAAAACAGGAGATAGATCACTCACCGGCCAGTTGTAATGATGAGCCCTGGCCTGCGGTAGCAGTTCACTGTGAATATTTTTTCCAGGGATAAACTGAGATGGGAGGCTGGTGGGGAGACTCCTGGCTGGTGTAACCCTTTTGGTACATAAGAGTTATGAGGGATAGCATGACTTATAGGAATTGGGTACCAACTTCCAAGTAGCAATGATTAAAAAAAAAATCAGTGTGATTGATCACCAATTCATTCAGAATGTGGAAGCCATAGGGTCTCTGGCAGCATGTAATGAAGCTCTAGTCTCCTGCAGTTAGGCAGACTCAATTGTAGAAGCAGTGCCGTTTCAGAGACGCTCCAGCAAGTCTCTGCGCTAGCGTTAGGGTCCTAATAAGGAAGGCTGACACTCCTAAAATTAGGATGAGAATACCTGGGTAGATGCAGTTGAGAATCTCCAACTCCCCAATTGCCCTAAACCTGATAGGCCTGTTGTTAGGCCCCCCACCCCTACTGGGGATGTGCTGGGTCAACAAAGGGATGAGAGGGAGCCAGGAAAGGGAGAGTGGGATTGTGTTCTGAAGGTGCCGGGTCAAGGAGGGGAAGAAGAACATTAAGTTGGATATCCCCGTAAGAACACTCCCATGATTCAGGATTGAACATTGTGGCAAATACCCCAGGGATGGTGAGCATAAGGTGCCAGCATAATTCTTGGAGGATCACAAAAGCTATGATCCATAGTCAATGAAATGGAAATGCAGGAGTGTTCATGCTGGGTGGTAGAGGAAAGGATCCACAGGCTCAGAGAAGGGAGCATGCTAACGTGGATTTGCTACAGAAAACGAAAAAGTCCACCAGCTGACCATGGTCCCAAGAAGCCCTGTCCTTACCAAAGTAATGACGCCCGTGCCGTGATGGAGGCAGCAGCAGTACTGAGAAGCTTAGCCATGCTCATTGTGTGTGCCCAGGACTAGCAGTAGGAGATGTTCTTACAAAACGAGGCTCTCTGACAGACCTGAGAATAGCAAGATCTCAAAACAATATAAGCCAAGCGCCAATGCTTAGCTTTCAGGAGTAAAAGGTATAATTTTCCCAAAGAGTGGCAGGATAGGTGTGGCATCCACAGGGTCCCAACCAGAAGATTGTTAATAGAACATGGTGTTCCTGGAGGTAAGGTAGATGGGCTGCCAACAAGGGTACTGCTTAGTTTATACAGTCAAATAGATGATGGATGATCGAAGGCAAAAGGCAGTATCTCAATAAAAATCACAGTGCCTTCCTCAGTTTCCAGGTCAGATTTGGAACCCACTGGCTGAAGGGAAGGCTGATTATAAGTAAGGATTGTAATACCAGGGCAGGTATATTCATTTGTTATTCCCCTAGTACTTGACCTGAGAATTTAGGATTACTTATTCAGGTAAATGTGATGTAGAAGAAATGGGGATACACATAACTTTTGAGGATTATTTAACACTGGGTCTAAATTGATGCTAGTACTACCTAATGACTCAATAAACCACCATGACTCCCTATTCAAGTGGAGGTGCAAGAGTCCTAGCCAAGGTCTGGCTCTCAGGGGGCCCACTAGTCCATGGATCAAACTGGGGTCCATTCCCTTATCTCCAAATGCATAATTGAAAGAAATACCCTCAGTAGTGTGAAGAATCCTCACAATAATTCCTTGACTTCTTAAGAGATAGTATAGTAAGGCGGCATAAATGGAAGCTTCTGAAGCTTCCTACACCAAGAAAAAGAGTAAGTCCAAAACAATGCTGAATTCCAACGGGAATGGGGAAATCGGTGAAATTTTCAAAGACTTCCATATTGCGGTAGTCACTGACATGTCCCCGTGTATTTCACAGGCCAGTCCCTGGCAATGGAACATGGCAAACAGCAAGGCAGTAGGTGAATGTGGTTTCTTTGCTAGAGCAGATTAAAATAGGCTCTAGCACCTGAGCTAGCAAATGTGTTTTCTGCCATCCCTATGAGGAAGGAGAACCAGATGCCATAGCCATTTCCTTGCAATGAACAATGGTTGATATTTATGGTCTTGCCCCAAAATCCACCTTTTGTCAAGATATAATCTGATGTGACCTGGATTCTATGGACATGCTATAAAATATATTGATTCACCATATAATTGACATCATGTAATAGGAACAGATGAGAGAGATGGGGCAAGTATATTGAAGGTCTTGGTTCATACGCCATGTATACACTAAACTCTAAGGTTTATACATCATGGACCTTAGAGACGAAGGTGATAAACCTTATAAAGCTTCAGAAGATTTCTGATTCCAGGCAAGCTGGAGTAGACACAGTCTCCCTCTTCATCACACTCAAGACTCTGGAGATGTACATATATATTCTAAAAGTTGGGGAAAAGAAGGAAGACCAGGTAGGAATCTCAGGACTCAAGGAATAATATGACAGTGGCTTTGTTTTTTCCCTCATGTATCTTAGACTGAGTACAAAAGAAGCCAGCAATCCCAAAACACCAATGGATACAGACAACAACAACAAAAACTGCATGGACTCCCATATTTCCTTTTTCGTAAAGGGCATCATCTGCCCGCTGTGCTTGAGAAACAGTGGCAGTAAGATTGGGTGACGAAGGTGGCAAGTGTGAGAGTTAAAAAGGATTCAGAAGATACCCTGACGATCAACAAGTTTTAATTGTATTATATATGATTTGGTCTTATTGGTTATCTCCTCTGCTGACATTAATAATCAGTGGTGACAGATCAACCATCAAATATGCTTTTTAGGAATACCTACCTACATTCTAAGCTGTTCACTCAATCGAAAAAAATTCATCTTCATTGACTATAACTTAAAAGTGAATTGCAATATCTTAGTCTCATTTAAGTGTGGAGTATTGGATTCCATTGAATAAAATAAAATGAATTATTTATTATTAAGTTAAATTCCTTTTAAATCCATCCAGTGAATCGACCATATGCAGTTTTATTACAGTTTTAAATTTTTTATTGGTAACTGAGTTTTCTGAATGGCAGACAAGTCAATTCATAGAAAAAATGGAGACTCTGTGAAACTGAAAAGTATTTAAATTATGAAATGTTGAAACTTGTGAAAATGGACAAAACTCAGGACAGGCTCTGGTTTGTTGAAGAGAGAAGTGTGGAGCAGTGGCTGCTAAAGGGAAGATGAGGTTAGAAGTAGATTTCTGTCTGCAGCACTTTCTCAAGGCTGCCTCATTCAGTATTTCTTATTCAGAGAAAACAGTGAGAATAGGTAAGGAATTCTGTCTTCAGCTGCTGGGGGATCTGTAAGAAACTTGGAAACTCCCCAAGACCCAGAGTGAGAGCCATGCCCACCACCTCTGCTCCTTGGATGCCTGGTTTTCATTCTCTTTGAAGATGCCAGGCCCCAAAGCCAATTGTGTAATGTAGGCTAGGGGTCACACTCACCACGGCTGAACTTAATGCACAGTGCTCCTGTGCTGCTTACTGAACCAAGTTCAGAATTCCACTTTCACGGCACATCACACGAGGATCACATATAATCCTAGAGTATCTTTATTTGTTCTATAATTTAATAGTACACCTATAAAATAATTACATTATACTTATAGCTTTTCTTCATTTATAAACAAAACAAACAATTAAATACAATTTGAGCCATTATAAAGTAAACTCTGTACATACAAGAACCCCCAGAAGGAGTTTCACACTGCAGCATATCATGTTGCTTCCATTGCTATACCCACAATTGTGTTCAAAGAGTGAGCTCACGTGTGTACTCTGTGAGTTCATAGCTTAGTCCTTCCCCTATCTGCTTGGGTTCTGTGTTAATAAAATGACAGGGGTTGGCTTTACGGTTTGGTGGGAAACTGCCTTCCACTTCTCTCCTACTCCACTCCATTGGCCTCCCTCACAATCACAAGGACCGCCTTCCCTCACAGCTTTTCTGCTGCATGTTCTGCCTGAGTCAGACGTGAGGTTTCCACTAAATACGCATTTCCTGCCTTAAGGTGTATATGCTCATTTCTGAAGCCGAGACCCCCTTTAGAGCTGCGCATTCTGCTCAGGTCTCGTGGTGTCACAGAAGTGACAGGAATGAAACCTGCAGCGCAGGGGCAGGAAACGGATTCACCTACATGCCCTACCTTACCCGAATCCTTGCTCTCCGGGTGAACGTCTCTAGATTCTCCATCACTGTCTAACTTCGGGAAGCCTCAGTTCCCAGAGCAGCTTGTAGAGGGGTTCTCACATACCAGGAAATCAAGCCTTCCTGAGTCCCCTAAGCAGAGCGTTTGAGACTGAGTGCTTGGGTATTACCAGGGAAAAGTTTCCCAACTTTTCATCTCCACCCATGCTCATTCCTACCAATCAGATTGGAATCCCATTCACATTGTCAGATTCCATAAACACCATTCACAGGGACACTTTCAGTGGGTGGGGCAACTTAACAAAGGGACTTAGAGTTAAGTATAATTTTGCAGGAAAATAAATTACGTCAAATTCCTTATATCAAGAGACCACAACATGGCAACCTCAACAATCATTATAAAAATGAAAGCTGACCATTCTTTGAAAAGGAAGCTAGTTGCTTTCTGTAGGACAGTTCAACTAGATTTCTACTCAATATATTTTATCCTTTATTTCCTCTTATATCGCAAAGTGACCCAACTCTTTATATTTTTAAATATTTCTCTCTTTTAACAGGACATAATTTTTGCTTCGTGTCACGGCAGTGAAATAGTATACACATGCATATTAAATACTACAGGGGCTTTTGAGTTTCAGGTTAATGACTTCCCAGTGAACCCCCTCTCCCTACCCCCATCCATCCCAAACCAGTTCCTACATTGTGCTGCAATGTCTTACTACCTTCAGTGAAATCCTATTCAAGGTCAAATCACAGCTCAGCCCATCTCCCTTCCCAATCTAAGAATAGGTGCATGACAGTGAACTGCTGCCAGGCAGTAATTCTGAGTAAAACGCCTTCTGGGCAGATCGTCATCTGCTCTGGTCCTTAATCAGAATGCTGCTGCAAAGCCAGAGTCAAAACAAGTGAAACAATACATGGATAGGTCTATAATACTTTTCAACAGCTCTTTACAATATAGGTCAATGATAAAACCAGCGTTAATATAGAAACCTTTGTGTGTAATAATATTCCAATTGCAGCGATAATAGCATGCACACCAGAGTTCATCTTTAGTCCATAGGTGGAGGGTGGGGGGAGTGAGGAAAAAGTGGGGGGTGGCTGGGGGGCGGGGGGAGAGCGAGGCCTGCTGTGAGCCAGGTCCCCAGGAAAGTTCACTTCTTGACCTATTGGCTCAAGTCGTCGTCTTGGTATCAGGTTAGGAGAACCTCCCCATCCACGGACAGCTTGTGGCCCTTGTCCAAATCCGCAGCACAGCCGCGAGAGGACAGCCCTGGAATCGACAGTGAACTCTCCCAGCCAGAGATACGCGGACCAGCAGCAGAGGTGTGAGGGGCTGCTCAGCGGGCCAACTGGAGTGTAGGGTGAGGACAGGGAAATACTCGCCTTTCCACACGGTGGAAACATCAATGCCGGATCGATCGACAGCGCGACACCTGGAAGATCCTCTCTGACCGCTGGGTGGTGGGTGGGTGGTGGCTTCCCGGCATCTTCCTTCGAGCCTGAAACACAGCCTGGCTTGGGACGCACAGGTGTGGCCCGGGGTCGGCGAAGAGCAACACGTCAGCCAAAGCTCCACTTGCGGTCTGCGCTTGTGACAAGGACACCATCAGCCCCGAGAAACGTGCTTGCTGCTGAGGGGGGAGGCCACCAGGCGTCGTGTGAGGGAGTTGAGAGGACAGGGGCAGAGGCGGCGGCGGCGGTGGCATGACCCAGCGGCCGGGTCGCGCAGTGCGGGGCTGCGTCCTGCCCGGGGGTGCGGGGGGAGCTCACTGCTTGTCTGAGTCGCTAAGGTTCACGGACATGCAGCGGCACTGCTTCACCTTCTGGATTTTTTTGAGTCGAAAGGGAGGGTCCAGCCCGGGGCATTCCAGCTCCACGAGGACCGAGGTGACGCGCTGGGGCTTGCAGAAGGCGCAGGACTGGAAGGACTCCTCTTCCTTCTTCACGTGCCGCGGGATGTAGAAGGAGTTGCACTGGCCGTAGCAGAAGCGGTTGAGGACCGTGCGGCTGCGGCAGCCCTCCTCGCTTACCGTCTGCCGCAGCGGCTGCGTCTTGCACCAGTCACTCTTAAGGTACTTGCGCTCGGTGACCACCAGCGCCTCCTGGCTGGAGGCCAGCACCTCCTTGATTTGATGCTGCCATCTCTCCGAGTTGTTGCTGCTGCCGTCCTTGTAAGGCGAGGGGATGGCCCCCGCGGGCCGGTTCTTCCGGGCGTCCACCACCTTCACCAGCACAGCCGCCAGGAGCAAGGACAGGGACAG